TAGAATTGGGAATTTTGGAATTGGCAAATTTGGAATTGGGAAATTTTAGAATTGGGAATTTTGGAATTGGGGAATTTTGGAAGTGGGGAATTTTGGAATTAGGGAATTCTGGAATTGGAGAATTTGGAAATTGGAGAATTTTGGAATTGGGGAATTTTAGAACTGGGAATTTTGGAATTGGCAAATTTGGAATTGGGGAATTTTGGAAGTGGGGAATTTTGGAATTGGGAATTTTGGAATTAGGGAATTCAGGAATTGAAGAATTTGGGAATTGGAGAATTTTGGAATTGAGGAATTTTGGAATTGGGGAATTTTGGAAGTGGTGAATTTTGGAATTGGGAATTTTGAAATTATGGAATTCTGGAATTGGAGAATTTTGGAATTGGAAATATTAATTTCTTTTGACAATTTTGCTAAATTTCTTAAGAAGAGCAAAATGAGTATTTGTTTATTTAGAGTAAATGTACCATGAAATGTACCACGTAAATGTACTATGTTTAAGTGTAACGATGTTGTTTCATCGCTTAATGCGTTCATTTTATTCGAACATTTGCTTTGAGATCAAAGTGCATAACTCTTAAAGCGATGTGACTTATAATGTTATAAAAATATCTTACACAGCGATGTCGAGAGTAATTAAATATTTATGGTTTGCGAGAAGTCGAACGGTCGGTTGGGTCTTTTCGATGTGCAGTTACAGATGGGGCGGATTATTTAAACCTGTTTGCACGAACACCCACTCCGTTTACGCACGCACGTAACATATGTCGCGAATTATACGAACACGAGTTGTACGAAGTCACATTCTACCCTGTCCTTTCCTGTCAAGATGTCGAATATATTTATTACCATAACAAATAGAATTACAATACCAAATGAAACATAAAAATATGCGAATTCGTTTAATAAATTAAATAAACTCATGAAAATATGCAAATTCATGAAACAAATTAATTCCAGAATTCCCTAATTCCAAAATTCCCAATTCCAAAATTCCCCACTTCCAAAATTCCCCAATTCCAAAACTCCCCAATTCCAAAATTTCCCAATTCCAAAATTCCCCAATTCCAAAACTCCCCAATTCCAAAATTCCCCAATTCCAAAATTCCCCAATTCCAAATTTGCCAATTCCAAAATTCTCCAATTCCCAAATTCTCTAATTCCAGAATTCCCTAATTCCAAAATTCCCAATTCCAAAATTCCCCAATTCCCAAATTCCCCAATTCCAAAATCCCCCAATTCCAAAATTCCCAATTCTAAAATTCTCCAATTCCAAAATTCTCCAATTCCAAAACTCCCCAATTCCAAAACTCCCCAATTCCAAAATTCCCCAATTCCAAAACTCCCCAATTCCAACACTCCTCAATTCTAAAATTCCCCAATTCCAAAATCCCCCAATTCCAAAATTCCCCAATTCCAAATTTGCCAATTCCAAAATTCCCAATTCTAAAATTCTCCAATTCCAAAACTCCCCAATTCCAAAACTCCCCAATTCCAAAATGCCCCAATTCCAAAATTCCCCAATTCCAAAACTCCCCAATTCCAACACTCCCCAATTCCAA